TAGATACATTATCAGTCATTCTTGTGGTCCTCAACGACGGTGAATAGCGCACTTCGACTATACCTGCGCTAGCAGTTGTTTCGATGTATTTAAGCTATCGAGCTTTCAGAGGAAACATACTAAAGTCCGCCTTCGCTCTCTTCATATGTCTCACAATTGCAGTAATAAGCCGGATGCCCCTTCAGTGTTAGATTCTTACATGCTGGACGATATGGTCCATAATATAGCTTCACTGTACTTGTACTACAACGACGAGGCCAGTCTAAAGAACTACTGTGTCGAGCTATCTGCAAGTCTGTATGTTTTCGATAACCGTAGAGCCGTCAGCTGGCTGGACGACCCTGAGACAGTCGAAACCAGAAAGGAGTGCAATCATCTTCCCAAGTATGTGTGTGCGTGGTCAGGCTGTGCTTCTGGGTGACCTATGCTGCGGTCTATTGGTGCGAGTGCATGAACCACTGTTTACTTTCTCCTCTCAATCCCTTCAACGCAGAGGGTTTTCTCATTTTGTGTCTTCTGATGTCCTGTTGCCTGGTTTACAAATTTATATGCCTGATATAATGAGAAATACGCGTACTGCTGTCAAAGTATATAGATCTGATCTACTCCACTTCGCTCGCACCTGCGTAATGTGGGAGGAAGGCTACAAGGTACTTCTCAAACGCTCGTTCTAAACTGATATACCACTGAAGGCTTAGTGTAAACGCGAGACACTTGCCACCAACTGATCCTACCCACTCGCCCCATACACCCCGTACAGATTCATTAACCGCAAACACTTTGTGGACAACCTCTACACGTCGCGCGTGCGCAGCACACACTGCTGCGGCAACACATACCTCGTCGGTGACGAACAACCCGCCACCCCCACCACCTCAGCTGCACCCGCGCCAGACATCACCTGCAACACCGACAACTGCCAGTACACCCGTAGCGAGAGTGCGGGTGAACATCACCAGAGCTTGACCCCCGACAGTGAGCCCAGCCACTCGCCCCAGCGGCAGGTCAGTGAGACGGAGTACATCAGACGGCTGTCGTCGCAAATGGACGGCAATGACACATCCGATGCGGCCTATGTGACCGCAAACGAGGACAAGAGCGAGACGGAGGTGGGTGGGTGGGTTGGTAGGGGGGTGTGTGTGTGTGTGTGTGTGCGTGTGCGTGTGTGTCATGAATCGATAATAGACGAGTATGAGACTGTTGGAAGCTTAAAGGGTGTGTGCAACGGAGGTGTGCATGTGACGGTTGTTGTTGCAGATGGGCGGCAGTATCACCGATCTTCTCTGCGGATGAGCGCAAGAGCGTGCGTGGGGTGTGTGTGTTGTGGTGACCGGAGTGGGAATGTGCCTGTACATATGTTACATAGCTATTTGACAACCGTTCGTGAGGATAGCTGTATCTGCAGGTTGAGTTCCCTGTTGTTTTGGCCTTTATATTAAATGCTAGTTCTAACCTCTTTCAAATGGTATGCTGCGATTGAACGTGTACTATAACGTCAGGGGTTGTAAATTGTAGGTTTTTGTCGTTGACTTTTGGTTCAAGCAATACCGATTTACAACGCAGCCTCTTATCAGAAGTTTTATTCATTGTCGCTGATTGTCCGGCTCATATACCGCGTTCATCACAGTCGGAGACGAGTGCGAGGCGAACTGTAAGCTCGAGCTTCGATAGTCTCAGCCACTTAGTAAAAGAATTCGACACTGGCATCGAGGTCATGGACTTCAGCAATGACACTGAGACGTCGCAACGACGAACGAACAGCGCAGACACAAGACGATACCAAAACTTTCGGTCTATCGACCCCACCAACGTATGTTGGTTGTTCTCATACCCATTTATATATATATATATATATATATTATATCTATCTATTACTACATCTATAACTAGTGTGTATGTGTGTCTGTGTCAGTTAGACTTTTGTAAGCGAACGTTCTGGTAATTGAAATTTGCAAGTGACTGTTCTAGTGGTGTTTGATTTTTGACATCTTATTCTTATATGACCTCATCGTGTGTGTTGTCGATACACGAGGACAATAGACATGGGTGATCGCTGTGTTTATCGATCTGCATTCGTTGCTAGGCGACCGATCTCGTGATAATTTAATCCTCCTGTCAATTGTGAAGTTGTGTTCCTGTACTTACAACCCGGAGTGTACCCCTTGGGAGTTACCTGTCTGTGTTATATCGTTCTAAAATGTTCGCATTCTCAACTCGCTCATATTACATACATGGTTCTCCCAACGCAATTATATGACATGCGTTGTGCAGAGACCTAACCGCGTACCCAGGAGAGCAGGAACGGCGTCAGAGTCGAATGCCAATGAATTGGCCGACCGAGAAGCAGGTTTGTATTGTCTCTCCCTACTGCGTTGTAGTACCTGTGTGTACTTTTATATTGTCCATCTATATCCTCCAATGGTGAGTGGTTATTGTTTAGTAGGGGATCTGCGAGTTGTGTCCTGTAAACTTGCAATGGCGAACGGCTAACGTTTTGTGTCAATATTCCATCTCACATCTTGGACTTGAACAAAGGTGGGCTGGTAGAGTTTAGTAGTCAATTCGTGCGTCTAGATCCTTCACATCTACCCTGGTGAACGTTTATGACATGCTCAAGGGTGTAGGAAAATGGATATCGGTTTGTAATCGCGAGGGGTACCTATTTATACAAAACGTAAACCGGTTTTCTGTCTCATACTACAAGTATATATATATATGTCTTGTCTTGCCCACTATCTGGTCTATAGTATTACCTCGTGAATCTTTTTTTATGCGGCATAGTTGTAAATGTGTCCGAATGGTCCGCAAAAAAATATATAGTTCAGAGCGGTTGATATCTCAGTCACATTCTATGTCATTCAAACTTCGTTCCATCGTATAAGCTCGATATATCACCGGCTTACATACACGTGAACTCGATAAGCAACACTCACAACTTCTGCATTCCGAATTTATATATATATATATATGTATATATATGTATACATATATATATGTATGTATATGTATATATATATATATATATATATATATATATATATATATATATATATAAGTATAGATGCATGTATAGATGTATGTGTATATGTATATGTTTATCTGTGTGTTTGTGTTGCATACATATTTTGTACTTACATTCTCAATCCTTGCTGCTTACAGGACCTGCCTTGTTCGCCGGTCGCTACGCCGCCGACCAAGACTGTTTCCACAACACCACACAGACCTATTCACAGCAACAAGCCCTCCTACAGAAAACCGACGGGAACCAATCTTACTATGTCACACAACCGTGTAGTGACAGTGACCATGCACACGCACACGCACACACACACATAAAAAAGGGTGCAAAAGAGTCCCATTCCCCGCCCTGGCAGACGTTGGGTGGACCTGCGCCCGCGGCGCATGCATCGACTGTCGGTAGTTTCAGTAATATCAGTAGTGTGCTGGAGGGTGACGACGTCGATCTGCCGGTGACAGCCGAGAGTGTGCAGGCGCTGTATGATATGTTTGTGTTGGAGCTACTCAAACTCACACGGCGGTATGTCGGGTACATGTTGGGGGTGTGGGACTGTGTTGCGTATGGGCAATTAGCACACGTGTTGGGGTCCGGGATTGCGTGCATCAAGGTATAACGTGTGTGTACGCGTGGCGTGATGTGTGTTGTGTGCTTACGGTCATGTCTGAAGTGTATGTTATTTGTTTGTGTACTATTGTGTGTGTCGACTATTTGTGTTCATGCCACATATTACATGGTATGTGTGTATGAATGGCGTGTATTGTGTGCCGGTGGCTACGCTAAACGGTGTGGAGTTACTGTATGTGCTGTATATAGTACCACGTCTTCGCTCCTATGCCTGCGTTGCACTACCTTGTGTACTCTTACAACAACAAACCACCTGTACGCTACCTTATAACCTCGTATCTCTCTTAACCGTTGGGTCTAGTACGCCAACTAGTATGACTAACCCATCTGCCCTGGCACCCCTGCACCTACAGCCTGCACGGTCTAAGCGAATACGACACCGTCACATCGCAGCAACTGCTTCCGTGCCTCGCGGAAGTCGATCTCACGCTGCTGAGTCCCCGTACCATAGCCCGGCTGGAGAGCATGCTGTACAAAGCAAACACGTACAGGCAACCAAACCGACAGGTGCGTTTGGCTGCCAGGCGCACTATGGACAAGCTCTTTCCGCGGGGCATGTATGCGCGTTATGTGGTGTCTGGGGCTTTCAAGGCGATACTCTACCCGTGGAACGTGCCGTACTCGCTGTACTGTATGAGTTGGTATGTTTTGGACCTGCACCAGTGGGTCTGTATGTTGTTGGTGTTAGCAGGTGCATGTATCGCATATACAGGCAGTGGAGGTTACTGTCGGTGGCGACCATATACAATACGTTCAAACGTTTCTCCTCAGCCGAATGTGTGAGGGATTAGCATCCGTGTAGGCTGATTTAACGCGTGCGTTCTCGTTTGCACGGTACTTTAAGTTAGTACTTACATATCCTCTAGCGGTATACACGTGTGTATTGTACTTTATACTTACGTGTGTATTGTACTGTATACTTACGTGTGTATTGTACTGTATACTTACGTGTGTATTGTACTGTATACTTACGTGTGTATTGTACTGTATACTTACGTGTGTATTGTACTTTATACTTCCGTGTGCATTGTACTGTATACTTACGTGTGCATTGTACTGTATACTTACGTGTGCATTGTACTGTATACTTACGTACCGTTCTGACTGGCAGTGACAAGCTCAGTGCCGCAGGGCAGTACTTTATGTCGACCGAAGTGGCGGTGAGCCTGCAGCACGCGGCTGCACTCGACCGACGAGAGAATGAGACACGCACGGATTTGATTATGGACCGGGTTAGGTGAGTCAAGTTGGCACGTATATTTATCAGAGTGTGTTGTGTGATGTCTGTTTATGTACATCTTCACGTATGGAAATATGCGCGTTGTTGTGTGTGTCTACTATAATACCGCCGGGCGTACATGTGTCAGCATGTGGTGTGTACTCCATAGTTCTGGTACACTCATATGTGGTTATACGGATCATTCTAGTAGTAACAGCAGGACGCGTACATACATTGGTGTAGAAGGCGAGGCCGTCGACTGCATGTAACAGCTGTCAATAAAATGAATTGACCTTCACGTGTATCACGCCGCAAGGACAATCCAACCGTAATCCTCTACTGCTATTCAAGGTGTTGGCTTCCAATTAAACACCAGATGGACCATTCCGTTTTAACATGGCCTGTGGTTCTGTATTCAAGGCTCCGTCCCAATTGACCCCAAAAATCCACCTACCACGACCCACAGAAACGTGGTACAGAGCGCGTACACCAAGGTGCAGACCCTGCGCCACCAGAGCGACGCCGACGCAACAACACCGGCCGAGCACCAAACAATACCCCAGCGCCCACTCACCTACTACGAAGTGGTGTACAGCCAGCTGCCCGATAGAGAGGACTGTGAAGCCTACGCCAAGCAAAGGTTGGAGACATCGCTGGTACGCTGTGTGTCTACTGCGACGAACGCCGCGAGCTACTTGCCGTGGAGATACTTATCTGGGTATGTGTGTTGTGAGCTCTGGAAGTATTGAGTCCAGGACGCGTGCGGGTTAGCTGATTTGTGGTAGAATGCTCAAAGCGTTGTATGTCTATGGGCCAGCCTGTAGTGGAACCGGCTGCAGTCCAGCTGATGATATCGGCCTGGTAGTGGTGACTGTGACACTATGCACTATTCGGTTACACATCATAAACCAAGCGGTATACTTACCTTGCCTTACCTACTATCCCATACAGGTCCGGCATGGTTGAGGAGTTCCTGCACGAATCTACCATAGGCCAGTACTATGAGCAAGTGGTGGCGAAAAACAAGCGTGATGTCGAGGAACCTGTTGAAATACAGACTCCTGGGAGCTGTGCTTGAGTGTTTTGGAAGTGTACGCATTTCATGTAACATAACCGTTAAAAATGACACGGTTTAGTATAAATAAGGCCTACTGATGTTATATGCCCGCATCTGGTCGGGTTGCTGACTATTAGTAGAGGCGGCATACGAATGCTCATGTAAGTCGAACAAGTACCGGCTGGACGGTTTCGAAGACTCCGATAGAGAGACAGACCTTAGAGATTGCTATGAGTAATGGTTGTATCTGGAATATAGATTATGTATATGAAAGCTTATATACACGCGTGGAAAAAGTCCGGTTTGCGTACATGTACGCAAAAAGCCCCATATACGTACATGTACGTAAACAAACTCCCAATATAAAATTTACAATCTTGGATCCTGGAGGCTGACTGTTCAAATTGATATTATGTGTTCTTTCAGGCTTAAGCCTGTGCATAGTCTCCAGATATACAGTCTCTATCTGCGTCCCAGTCACGGACACTACGTTATTCTTTGGTTCTCGTTGGCTCTAGTCTGTACTGTGCCCAGCGTCGCTATAGTGTGCTGCACAATCTAGTGTTCCGACCCGAGTGGATCGGCCTCCTAATCAATTCCATCTGGCGCTAGTCTGTGCAATTGTCTTTGTGAAGATTGTTTATTTTTCTTCGAAGTGAAATATTGAATATTAAGAGTGACCAGACAGGTGACCATTCGTTAATTCATAAACGGCAGGTTTTCCCTGTTTAATATATATTCACTGTTAACTTGGCATTGACAGAATGTTCTACGTTCGCAAAACACAAAAAGAAGTCACTCGGATCCAGTGCACGTTTCCGTGAACAGTGAATGATCTCCAATGGACAACCCTTGGCGCGGGCAATCCCGTGTTGTGTTTGTGTGTGCGTCTGTGTGTGTCAGCTAGTTGACTCTGCGCGTGCAATACAGCTGCACATACACACCTCGTCCGCCCGTTTCAGGACCGTTGTCTCCAGCGCGTTGCGGAATATATTAAAGACCACATTCTTGTCTCGCAAGAACAGGAGTTGCTTTCCCGTCTATCCTGTGCATGTTAAACTGCGCAGGTTCTTAAAACTCGGATGATCCGCACACCTGGGCTTGGTTCATGGGCGCGTTTGTGTGACACAGGCTGTAGACCTGGGAGGTCCGAAACTCCTCCGCAGACAATACGAAACAGTGCTTGCTGAGCTCGCGAACCAGTGTGGCGCCAAAACCGGACAGTCCTTTGGCCTCGCTGGTGAACCTGGATTCGCCGTAGAGGATGTGTTTGGCGTTTCGCACCACCGGATTGCGCAGTACGATCATACGCGATTACACAAAGGGATGGTTTCTTATGTATTCGTTTCCCTAGCCACCAGATATGTATTATCCACTTAAATACAGACGTCAAAAAGGGTGGTTTGCGGTTGGAGTCGCTCGCACGATGTCTTGCTGATTTTCTCAGTCTCATTTGTATACTCTTGATGGCATTCTCGATGCTTTGATTGGATCAGATAAAGTATTTGTCCATTGAAAGGTGCATATTGAAGTATTAAAATAATATAGAATCCGCATAAGCTATTTAGGTATTGAGTTTGAGTATATCGATAGACGATCTGTAATCCTTAAGCCACATGCGTAGGATACGGAGAATCACTTAATGACTCTGACTGTCTCGTATCGCGCGAATCCTTCTCGGTATCACAGTTACTACCATAACCTTCACCATTTTCCTCGTCTGTGTATCCTATGTCAGTATATTCTCCCCATCCTGAGCTCGCATTTTTTTGGGTATGTGTGGGCCCAGCGCCGACTGTTTTGTCCACTTCACTTTTTGTCGTATCGCGATTCCGGTCACTGTCGAATATGAAATCTGATTCACCTTCGCTTACCATATCTGACCCTATTTCTAAATCACTCGAGATGTTACTATCATCTGTGAAAATATCAGAACCTGATACCTCATTGTCACCTGTGTTGATTTCACACTCGCGCTCGCGTATTTCACCGCTTGCACCTTCGCTAAAATCACTTTCAGTGTATTTCTCACTGTATGTTGTCTTCACGTCGCTTTCCTCCTCTTCAACTGTTTTCTCATTCTCTCCATAGTTGTCGTTTCCAGCGTCTACTTCTTTGCCGTCCATTGCAACCGGTTCTTCGAGTTCATACGGTTCATTGAGTTCCTCGTTATCCAGTAGTTCGAACGGTTCCCATGGATATGGTTCTGTCTCATCAGAGGTACCGAATTCTTTGTCCATGAGCCTCTGTGTGTATCTCTTTGTTTCCAACGCGAAATTACATTCGCACGAGTGCTTCTTCCGGTTATGCGAAAGTGTCTGTAGTCTCGATTCATCCGTGTGTGTATTGATATTTTCATTGTTGAATGTGCATACACATACACCAACTTGGCGATAGCCTACGTCAGTGTCACCTGTTTTAGCTCCGAATTCATATACCGGCTCTGTGGATCATAAATTTGATGGAAACCCAGTTAAGATGCGCACAAGACTCGTGGGACATATTTGGTGATGTTATTCCGTTTTCCGATTTGTCAGTGTATCTCACGCGTACATAGAATCAATACTTATTGGCTTTTAAAGCGACACATACAACTAAAAGAACGCACAGTACTTACCTAAAACCTTGTACGAGACTATCCCATGTCCATATGCATTTACTATCTTGTCGATTTCCAGCTTGACGTCAGCATTCAATCGGTGCATAATTGCGCCTGCGACGTGTGTCAGGTATAGGACGGTGAACCCCATAGCGACTTTCATGTTTATGTCTTGAATATCAGTATGCCCCACGTTACGCCAATACGATAGCACATCAATAGTGATGGGCTATTATACTAAAGAGGGTCTACTTTGTGATATTTACCATTGTGATAAAAAAAGGTTTGTGCGTTGCTAATATCAAAAGGTGTTGACCTAGTTGTATGCGCCAATGAAATCTCATAATTTGTTGGTTGTCATAGTTTTGAATTTTATTGAAAAACGCTATACAAATAAAATTGTCAATACAAATGTTCCTCAGGGTAAAGTCTCTCGGAAAAATTACTTTTGTCGCCAGGAAGATGGCAAAAGCATTTTCTAATCTACATACACATGAGTCCAAACTTTACGAGTTCAAGGTCCTTCGGACAATAGTCCGATAAAGCTTGTTATTCCATTCTTCTCTCTCTAGAAGGACAAGGTTCAAAGTCAAAAACTCGAAGCATGAACACAAGGTGCAAATCGACACATGCACACGGTAAAATATATATATATATATATATACAAACACACGCACACACACACACACACACACACACGACACACACACACACANATATA